TAATTGATAATTTGAAATAGGAAAAGGTCCAAAGGTGTATGGGTGGTGGGAGGGGAAGGGGAAAGGGAAGAAGGGAAAGGAAAAATTATGAGAAAGAAAAAAAAATTTAAATGAAATCTATGTAAATCGGGAAGGATGGAGAGGGTGAAGGGCACACAGGTAATGGGGAAAAAATAAGAACTAAGATACATCATGTACAGGTACAAGCACAGAATGATAAATGTAAATGTATACCTAAAATGTACCAATAAAAGAATTTTTTAAAAAAGAAATCAACCAATAACAAATGTTGGCAGGCTTTGGGGAAAAAAACGAACCCTTCTCCACTGTTGGTGGGAATGTAGACTGGTGCAACCACTGTGAAATCAGCATGGAGGTTACTCAAAAAACTAAAACCAGAAGTTTCATTTGACCCAGCTATTACCCTTCTGGGTATCTTCCCAAAAGAATTAAAAGCATCATACCGCAGCAACATATGCACAGTCATGTTTATAGTGGCATAGTTTGTAATAGCTAAATCTTAGAAACAGCCCAAATGTCCATCAACTGATAAATGAACAAAGAAGATGTGGTTTTATTTTTATACACTGGAGTACTATTCAGTCATAAAAAAAGATTAACTTGAGACATTTATACCTAAAAGGATGCACCTTGAGACCATACTCTTAAGTGAAGACACATATGTAAATATTGCATTGTTTCTCTGCTGTGAGAAATGAAAAGTGTAAATGAGGACCAAAATGTATAATAGATATTGTGAAATAGGATGAAAATGTTCAAAGGAGAAGGGGAACTAGGGAGAGGCCTGGGGAAAGAAAGGAAAGGAAAGAAAAAAATGAAAAAAGAAGGAAAAATGGAAACAAAGCTTTTGCAAATAAGGAGGGATGGAGAGGATGAAGGGAAGGAAGGGGAATGGGAAAAAATAAGAAGCAAGATATATCATGTACAGGTACAAACTCCCTGTGATCAATGTGATCATTATGTAAACCTAAAATGTACCAATAATCTTAATTAATTAAAAGTTCTCAAAAAATTGAGAACCTTTGCCTTTAAAAGGATATCTGTCAGTCAGGGAAGAAAGTCTATATTGTTCAATAAGACTAGAATTGCCTTCTCACAGGTCAAATGCTGGTTTTACTATTTGAAAATTATACTATCCTTTTAACCATCTTCCCTTCCCATCAAATCTAATTTTAGAATTCATATAATATAGAAATTGTAGTTAAACATCCCCATAACTAAATTTATGCCACTGAGTGATAACCTTTTGCCAAATTCATCCAGTTAATCACAAGAACAGAAAACAAATCTTTGTCATCTAATTTGCCAGGGAATTAAATTTACATCACTCTGTGGATATGTGCACACTTCAGAAACACTACAGTGCAAATACCAGGTAGAGTCTAAGATGAACCAAGGTCTATCTATACCCCACATGAGGAATCTTATTAAGGTTTCATCTTAGTGTGGCCCCTGGTTATAAAATATTGAGAGGCAGACTCCCAGAAATTGTATCATAAAAGATGTGATTTGGAAGATATCTTAGGGTTCATCTTGGACAGTTCCTCATTTTATATTAGGCCAACAGGCAGAATTTTTCAATGTATAATATAGCCAGCCTCTTTACATCATTTTTAGGAATAAGAGATTAATCAATGAGTAACATTATATGTCTTAACCAAAAAGAAGATTCTAGTGTAATTCTTGCTTAATTGAATAGTTTTTCAAGGCAGCTTCCTGGGAAGTTATTTCATATTTTCAGGTTATAGAGATTAGGAGCCATAAATCTGAACCTTTCATCTCAGGAACTGCTATTAAAGTAAATATGTTTATCAAAAGCTAGATCTTGTTGAGAGTTTGACTGATTGAATGCTTCTTGGAGGTTATTGGATGATTCATGGGGAGAATCATCACATTGTTCAGTAATACAACTGCTTTTTTGCAAGTCTAGTGCTGTTTGATCAAATGAAAACAAGCTGTCCTCCTCACACTTGCCTCCCCTCCCCATCAGCATCTTCAGTCCTGATTCTCTTGATTTCATCATAAGGGCACAGAGGGAGAACTTTTGGATGGCATACTCTAAAGATATTGTAATAAGACACTCTACCGTTGCTACTAAATCTGTACCACTCAAAGGTGACTGCCTTGTCATCTATCTCAAAATACTGTGCTCAGTCTCTCAGTGTCATATAAGAAGTAAACCCAAAAGGGAGGAAGAAAAGATTCATTCACTTTTTTGTTCAATGAAAGATTCAATCATTGCACCAAACACTAAACAAACAGGGCACTCTCTTTACAATTCTAGACTTACCAAATCAATAAATCAGGGAAAATATTATTTATATTCCAAAGAAATTCTTATTTTTTAATATATAGATTCACTGAGTTTCTGTTCTGCCTTTGGAATCTTACATGTATACATTTTATAGGCTACATAAATTATACCAGTGAAAGTAAAGGATTCTCCCTTATGGTACTGAAGAGAGTATAAAAGAGTATGGGAATAAATGCTGATTGTGTGTATACTGTATATATAATCATATAATTATATATTCACAGAAGGCACACACATATCTCATAAGTTAGGCAGAAGATTTCCTCTGCTGCTTATCAACTGTACTGGCCTGAGGCTGCACCATCCACAAAGGGTTCAGGCATGGTATTATCTAAGGCTTTTCTTGAGAAGTAGTTATAACACTATTTATAAAAGATCACCCCTGGCTTTACTCACAAACTGTCTCAATGTTGTCACAGTTATTCAACCAACAAAGCATAGTTCAAACAAACAAAAAAAGATAAAACTGAGCCAGTTAAGCCTGGAGATTTAATTTCCCATTTATGAATTAGATGAAGAGGCTTTTTTCCTAAGACTTTTTTATAGTGATGCCAGCTGGCTTTCATTTTACAAGCAATTTCCAGTATGCACTCTTGTGTTTGCAGATGAGTTGTCTGTTATTTGGCAACATTTCTTGATTTTTCGACCTAAAGGGAAACAAAGAGAAACCACAGTCATGTTCATAGATGCATATACATCCCAGTTCATTGTCTCAGCAGTTACTAAAGAGCAGAGACTTTGCTTACATTCATAAACATTATTAAAATATGTAAGGTGAATATTATCTTTATTTAAATAAACAGTTAAGCATCTTGCCAAACTCCAACTCCAATCTAAATGCTGTCGATGTCGAAACATGTAAGAAGTAATGTATCCACACATTCACTTGAGTGTGTAAATACAGAAAGGAGGCAAAGCCAGGCAAAAGGGGGAGTGGGCAAAAAGAAGTATATATAAAACTCAAAGTTGTCCACATTCTCTTAAAAAGCAAAGAAAATCACAGTTCTACAAAACTCTTGTACTAATGCCTTATTGTACTTTAATCAGTATATCAAATTAGCATCCATTTGTATTTTCTAACATGTCAATTTTCTGGTAATAAAGGATAGTAATGAGCACAAAATTTTTATACCATACACATTAAAATCTCCAAGTTAATTAATAACTTGTAACTACATAGTCACTTTCAAGGAAACATCAATGTTAATATAACAGGGAATTAATAGGATAGTCCCAGAGTCCATAAGACTCAGCTACTGCAAAACATAAAAATTCATAGTGAAGGTACCAATTCTCCCAAGTTCTTGCTGTTCACCAAATTTATAGACTGGCCATAATAAATCACTAATCTATTTTTCAATCACTTCAGTTCTATCACACTGAGAGCACATTCAAATAACATAAGTAAGAAATTGAGCAATAATCTGGTAAATAAGACAACTAACCTGTATGTCGGGCCCAAATCACTTTCTCAAAAGCGGGAATTCTGCATTCCTCGGATGCTCTTTTGATGTTAGCAATATGCTCCCAGCTTTCGTTTTCTTCGAGTACTTTAATGCTTTGAAAGAATGTATAACAACAAAGGCCCTTGCCTTGGAAACAAATTTTTTAAATGAAAAAGATCAACTGAATAAACAACTGAGACTGTTTTTAAAAGCAAACATTGCTACTTACTTAGAAATCACAACCAAAAAATATTTTTATGAATAAAATTTGTAGAACCCTTGACTCACTTTGTCTATTACTCAAACTTCAAAAGACTTAGCCCATATCTCTTTTTAAGTAAGTGTTGTTAGTACATGTTTGCAGTACATAATAATTACACTCATCATGGGCAGTTGGTGCATGTACATCACACATCTTAATTCTTTCTTCTTCCCCTTTCCTCGCCTCCCTCCTGCCTCCTCCATCTCTTTGTCTATTTCTATTTCCCCTTTCCCTATTATCTATCTCTTTACTTTGCTCTTTAAATTATTTATACTTTGTGCTGCTCTCTTAAGAAACATGCAATATTGTTTTTGATGTTATAGTGTTCATGCCATTTGGATGTGAATGTCCTAAACAAATCAAACACCTAGTTATGCTGGTCCATTACTGTCTGCTTCTTTATGACACCACAGATCTTCGGCAAGACTCAGCCACAAGTGTAGTTTTCATTCCTAAAACAAAAACGTTGATATAAAATTTTTGAAGTCCATTTCAGCACATATTTTGGGTAATTCTCAATCTTATTGGCCTACAAAGACTTTACGTGTGTGGCACAAAAACAAAAAACAAGACAAAACAAAAAACCAGATTCAAGCAAATAAAACAAAAACTAGGTAAGTTATTTTGGTATCATATAGATGCAATTTTATGGGCTGAATGTTGAAGTTACTATTATTGAATTTTATTGTCCACCAAAAGCCACCAAGCATGCTTCCAAGTGGCATAAAACATGCTTTGGTTAAAGGTGTTATGTGGCTGCTGACCTCATTGTCCTAGGAGGTAATGGTTCTCAAAAATCTTCATTCCTGTCCTACCTCATTTTTGTAACCATGTATAATATACATAACCCTAATTCTGGTCACATTCATACAAAGAGTAAATGTTTCATCTTTAACGTGAGAAAATAGCAACTGTACATTAATCAATTGACCAAGATTCTTCATACAGTTATCATCTAAATAAGCTCAGGATAAGTAAACAAAAGCAAAAGGAGATGACCATAAGGCTTTGTCATAAATCTGATCATATCTTTTACTGAAGAACTATTCTAAGGCTACCCAACTGAACTCCGTCAAAGGGGTCCCGGATGATAATATACGTTTAAAGTAGAATTCTCCTTAAAATAGCATTACCTGATAAAGAATTACTAGCACTGTCTTACTCCTTGAACTTTCTCAATGGCTAATTCCTAATGTAATTATCTCTGTATAACTACAGGTAAGTGTGTGTATATGTATATTACATATGATTTAATCACACATATTTTAAACCGTCACTGGTTGTTATGACCAGCCTACCATCTTCATTCATCAAGAGCAACAACTATATTGTCCTTTTTCTTCTCCCACACACTTATGTTCTCACATTCCCTGTAATATAACTACTTAATGGCATTTTGTGAGCAAAAATCTCAATAATCAAAATGCACTTTGTTTTTATTCCTTCCTCAATCTCTGAAACACCCATTTTAATGTTCTACACACTGTTTCCTATTCATTAATAGCTCTAAATGTCTTAATATGACACCAGGAAAACATATGAAAGCAAATTTAAAGATTTTCAAAATTAGAGGTTTTTTTTTCAGTATGTACTATAATAGCTCTTTTTTAAAAAATATATAAGTGTAAGCAAATGACATTTACCTCTGGTTCTCAAGGAAAGCCTGAATGTTTAAAGTCTGAATGTCATCTACTAATAAGATTTGAATCCCCATTATTTAATTTTTATCATGAGTCCTCCTCCTCCAGGTTGCTAATTACCTCCTCTGTGCATGCCCTTTCTCCTAGAAAACTGCACATCCTTCAAGGACAGGAACAACATTTTATTCCTAGGGACTGATGATAGTGCCATACTAAATGTTTGTTAATGATTTTCCATATCTCAAAAATCATCCTTTGGCCAGGGATTTAGCTCAGTGGTTCTACCACCTACCTCACAAGCTCAAGGTCCTGAGTTCAATCAATGGTACTTAAAAAAAAAAAATCATCCTGATCTAAAATTCACCTCATAGAATAATGGTAATTACAACACCTCAGTGATTATAGCCCAAACCTTCCATTCCAAAGGCAAAATGACAAAGTTTTCCTCTATTTCCCCTGGAAAAATTTAAAAGAAAACGTGCAAAAACATGAGACAAAATATTATAACATACAAAATAGCACTCATGCACTCAGTCACACAGTTGTGTGAATCTAGTAGTTTAAGTGCTAAAATATAAGTATTGCCTGCTTACATACACACACATATGTAATTCATTCTGATATTCAGAGTACTGCGTTTTTCCACAAAAGTATTATATAGGGGACTGTTCTACTAGACTTTAGTTAGGGAAGATCATTCAAGCATTTAGGCCAAAATTTGGAGAGAGTGAGAATCTGGCAGTTGTAGCCACCATTTCAACCAGAAAAAAATTGAAGAATTTTATTTTTTAAGAGTACTGTAGGTTTGTGGTAAGCAGAATATGAATTCCCATCACCAAATATGTCTATATTCCAATTTTTAAAATCTGTGAATATATTATTTCACATGGCAATAAAAGAAAAAGATTTTGAAGATGTGATTAAAGTAAGGACTTTGAGGTGGGGTATCTAGGTGGGCCCAATAACCACAAGGATCCTTACAGGAAAGACAGGAGCAAAAGAGTGAGAGTCGCAGGAGATATGATGGTAGAAACAGAGTCAAATTGAGGCAGCATGAGAATGATTTGACTGGCCAGTGCCATCTTTGAAGATGGAAAAAGCCACCATTGAAGGAATACAAGTACCCTCTAGAAGTAAGAACAGGCAAGGAATGGATTCTCCCCAAAAGTCTAGTTCCTAAAGGAACATAACCTGATACACCCTAATTTAAGTCTGGTGAGATCTGTTCCAGACATTTGACCTCCAGAACTGTAAGATAATAAGTTTGTGGTCATTTATTGCAACAACAATAGAAAACTACTACAAAACCATTAAGCTTTCAAAACTCTGGTCCAAACAGTAGACAATCACACTGTGATCATTACATTGGAAGAAAAAGCTAATATGAAAAGAAGGAAGGAAGGGAGGGAGGGAACAAGTGAGGGAGGGAGGGAGAAGTAAAGGAAGGACAATCTGATTTTTCAAGTTCATACAAATACTGTATTGAGGTTTCTCAAAATTCAAGGTTTATATAGGTTTTGTAGAAATGGGCAACTGACAGGAAAAACATTATGAAACCGATAAGTAATTCAAATTTTTTGAAGTTTACAAAAAGGATTTTAAAACTTTACTAGAGGTGAGATTCAAAAAAGGGTTTAGACAAACAGTCTTGCTCTTTATATTTAAGCATTACAAATACTGGACTGTGATCTCTTTCAGAGTTTGTTTCAAGTTTTATTCATTTTTCTATGCTCATGGCCCAGGATTGCACCTATCATAAAGTTGGCACTAAAAAGTGGTGTGCTACATAAATAAATACTGGCTCAAGAGAAGTAGGTTCTGGAGAAGGAGATATCTCTGCAAATTAAAAATCATGTATTCATTTATCCATTCCACAAATATAGAGTGCTGATTTTGTGACATGTGATAAGTCCCTATTTCAAAGTTTCAAAAGATTTAGCCCTCAAGTACTGTCCAATCTTTAAGCACTGTTGACCATCACTATTATAAACAGATAAAGCTTTAATTTCATGTTAACATTTAATTATGTCAGATTTTTATATTCTCAATAATCTGGATTATTTTCTTATTTTTCACCTTGTGCCAGTGCACCTAAATTGTTTTAAATGTCACTTTTGAACTCTGTTAAAAGGAAGAATAAGATTCCCAGCCTAGCAGCAGTTAATTTTCTAAGGAAATCCCCTACCTCTGGCTCCAGGGTTTCCATCACTCCCAAGTGGATGAGTCAGGTTGAGAAAGTCCAAGCAATGCAGTGAGGGTAAGTGCCCAAGTACAGAGGAAGTGGAAACAACTTCAAACTAGTGAAATCAGTGTGACTGCATTTCACTGCATATCATGGATGGGAATAACAGCTAGAGCACATTCTTATGGGCCCCCATTAGGCAGGGATCTTGTTCCATTCACAGGAACCCCCTAGTGGGGAGCAGAGCTTCAAAGAGTACATGCTCAATGGATGAGCCCCTGAGGAGGAGGGCTTGGGCCAAATTCTTCTTTCCAGAGATGAACTTGTTTCTTGGTTTAATAATAGATACTGTACCCAGCATGAGCCCTAGAGATGCAGAGGCTCTAACCCACTTCTGGTTTTAGTGGTGGTGAAGAAGCAAGCAGAGATTAGGAGTCCGTTAAGCAAGAATGATTAGGCGTCATCCTTTACCAGCCTTCACCCTGCAGCACTTCCTGGCAGATAGTCCCGGCTAGCCCAGCAGATCTTCAGTTCCTGGGGCAAATTTAAGCAAGAAAACAGAGGGTTGCAACATTGTGGGTATTTAGAAGGAAGGCAAAGGGGGAACTGTTACTTGTAGTAGTATCTGGTGAATTTGACTAGACTAAATTTCATAGCATTTCTTTTAATTAGAGAAAGTTTAGAATCTCAGCCTCTACAAAATTTATGAAATGGTCACAGTGCTTTTGATCCTCTCCCTGCCTCTTCTTGGCTTTCTACCCTGTATTCTCTCCTTGCTCAGCTCAGAGGCGCTCCCTGAATCGTGTCTTCTGTGTCACATCTTGATGCTAAGGAACTTCCCTCACCTGGAGGTGGCCTCCCTAGATTCCTAGCTGATTAGGAAAAACTCTGGGCCAATAGCTATGCTATATTATCAGCAGCCCGATGTATTTCTCCTGCCTTTTACCACACAGTATATGGAGACTTTCCCTTGGCTTCCAGAAACACAACTAGTTCTCACCAAAGAGGCTTCTCAATCAGTATGAGTCTTATTGTAAATCTGAGAATGGCCACTTTTCTGGAAGTCCTGCTTGTGTGAATGTAACACTCCAGGAACCAGACATAGAGCATCATAGCCTGCAGAAATCAAATAAGTACTAGAGGACACTCTGTATTGACTTGCAAATGAATGAGATGTTAGAGAAAGAGTGAAACTATATTACATTATGTGCTCCTTTAGTGCAACTTTTTATTATAGTTTGACTTTTTCCCTGCACATCAGGTTCAATTTTGAAAGACCCAAGAAACATCCCAAGGGAGTATCCTGCTTTGGTAAAGTTAATCTTTTCCTTCTTACAAAAATGTTCTTCTTTTGTCCTTGGAAAACAATCTGATAGAATTTCACTGTAGTATTATAAACAGCTCTGCCAACAGTATATTTATATTCTCCTTTAGAGATTTTAGCAGATTGGTATAACAGAATCACTAAATTCTTAAATAGATTACATAATACCATAAGAAGAGATACTAAGTAGTTTTCAAAAAATGGAAACCATGTAAATGCTACTGCTGCTGCTCATAATATTATGCTGATCCAAGACACACTGATTTATAGAAAATTCAATTTGGGAAATAATTTCTATAATATAAATAGCAACATCTCCCTTATAGCTGTTAGTGTAGGAAGAATGGATGTGGGCTGAGGTTGACTCTCCCAGCCTTGGGAAGAGGTTCATTAGTGGAACAGGGTTATTTAGGTGATGGTTTGCCAATATGTCTGAGGTGCCATATACAGCAATTGTTTTTATGACTACTAGCGCTAGAGAGGCTATTTTAAAACCACAACTGGGGAAAAATAAAAACATGAACTGCAATCATTGTGGCTGTTGCTTGTCATTTTAGATCTATTCTGTTATTGGTTGCCCCTAGCAACAAGAAAATTAAGCTAAAGGAATTTTAAGCAAGTAAATAGTGTACTACTTTGTATCTACTGTTTATATATTCTGGTGCATCAAAACATAGGCAAGTTTAATAGACATCAAAAATCTGAAATGTGAGCTCTGTGGATGGAACTTTAAAGAATCTTAAAACGATACTCATCAATCATAAAAATATGGTTGTTGGAGCCATGAAAAATAACCTCCATTGAGCTCATGAGCATCTTTCTGCTCTGCAGCAAGTGAAACAGTAAGATTTACTTTCCTAGTCCTCATAAACAGAGGCAGAGATGGAATTAAATATCCAGCATTTGAAGCAGAAATTGATCTGAGCTCTAGCAATGCCAATTGTAATCCCAGAAGCTTTGATCATTTGAACACAGTGAAAATAAAAGGCACCTTGTAAAAATATTTCTTTAATAAAGAACCTTAATATCATAATAATGATGCAACAAAAGCTCAACTGAACATTTACTGTGCCAGGCAGTGTGTTAGAAGTTTACATATAGTAATGCATTTAGTCTTCATATGTTTGTACGTTTGATTGATGATTAATCTGCTCCCCTGCTCCATAGAGAAATAGAAACTCTAAGGGGTTAAATGATTTGCTCAAAGTCAGGGCACCAATGTGTGCCAAAGGAGGGTGAAATCTGCTTCTGTGGAACTGCAAAGACTTTATTCTTCTCATTCTGTCATACTGGTCCTCTGAAAATGCAGAAAGCTACTAAGTATTCACAGTATTTGCATTATAGAGTCCAAGGCCCCCTATGTGCCAAGCACTTTACATACATGATCTCTTCAGAAGTGCACTGTAACCTTGTGAAGTAAGTATTTCAAATACTGACATTTAAATCCACTAAGGACTTAATCAAGATTACAGAAATACTAGGTGGCTCAGCCGGTATTTGAAACCAGATCTGTCTGACTCAACCATGTGTTCATTCTGCTTTTCCATCCCACCTCCTACAAAGTGGAATCTTTACATACTGATGTGGGTGGACTGAACAAAGATCATATTTGATGAGGCTTTCTTATTGAATGTAGTTATATTTCAGAGGATGATATTTGACCTACAACACAGACAAACCTACATACATCACAAATTGCTGTGTAACAAATTGTTCTAGTATTTTCTGGTTTGACCACAAATCGCCTTCAAAATAAAATTTTCGCCTTCTACCTTTTTTAAGAAAAAGAGAAAGAAAGAAAGAAAGAAAAGAAATAAAGAATGAAAGGAAGGAAAGAAAGAAAGAAAGAAAGAAAGAAAGAAAGAAAGAAAGAAAGAAAGAAAGAAAAGAAAAGAAAAGAAAGAAAGAAAAGAAAG